CATGCCCGCCCCCCCAACCCCCCCTCCCATCTTCACCCCACCTGTGCTTGTCTGTGCCCCTTTGAGAGGAGAAAACCGAGATGTCCTGGCTTGTTATTTTTCAGATCTTCCTAGCAGTGGCTAATTTTGAGCAGAATGACAGGGGTCAGGAGTTCTCTGTAATATACAAGTGGAGCCGCAGGAAAGAGAAATTCATCACGTACCAGAGGATCACCACGCACAGCGCTAGGGACTGGGAGGCATTTGTCATTGAGGGAGAGGCTTTCCTCGCAGTGGTCAACCACAGAGAAGGTACCCAGCCCTTATATTCCCTTCCAGCCGGGGCAGGCAGCCCAGGGGTGACACTGGGGACCACAGCACCCCACCAGAGCATCCTCCCGTTGCCATGGCAACACTGCAGCTCCCTGCGCATCCTCTGCCGGCACGCAGGGTGAAGCCGGGGAGTCAGTCCCCACAGCTTGGAGCACCGTGTCCCTCAGGAAGCCTGAACCCTTGCCTGAACCCCTTCTCATTTTAGGAGAGAAAAGCCCTCGGGGAAGCGGCTGACGTGGTCTCCCCCTGGGTTTCTGACGGCAGGGGACAAGGACAGGAGCGGGGATGGTTGTTGCTGCATCTCTCTGCTGCTTTTCATTTGTTTCCCCAGGGCTAGGTGACGCGGTGGGGCACTGAGGGCAGCAGCCACCTGGGTTTGCAGGGGCCGAGCCTTTTCAGAAGGCAAAGCATTGGCCTTGTGGGCGTACAGGACACCGAGGGAAGCCGAGACAGCCGGCTGGCATCCTGCCCTCCCCGGGCACCCTGCCAACCTTCTGGGTCGGGACGTGCACCCCTCAGCATGGGGGGTGAATGGGTCAACACCACAACCCTGGCTCTCCAGGATGTGCCCAGCCAGGTTCGAACGCGGGGCTGGTGGGCTCCTTCCACCAGGGCTGGCTCCTGGGGGGCATCAGCTCCTCTGGCACCAGGCTCAAAGCTGGTGGCAAGTTGCTCGGGCAACCAGTGGCTGGTTGCCAGGGCCAGTCTGTGAGCTGGGCTAGAAACTCCCTGAGTCACCTGATGGACCCCAACACGGCCAGTTTAAACAAGACCTATTCCTATGGCAGTGACAGCAGAAAGGTGCACATCATGCAGGGGTTAAGATCATCACAGCCAAGCCAAACTGGGAATGTTCCCCTTAATACGAGGTGGAGGGTCAGTCCCTCAGCAGGTGCCACTTATCCGTGCGGCCATTTCCCAGCACCCTGCAGCCCTGCTTGCCAAAGTCTCTCCCATTGCAATGAAGATTGCCTGTTAACCCATTAACACCTGGTCCTGCTGCTGCTCAGCCACCAGCAACACCAGTGGGGCCAAGCCAAGTACAGCAGTGCTTAGTGAGCAGGGGGTGGAACGGGGCTGGTGGTGCTCCCCTGCCATCCTGAAGAAGCCATCTCTTTATTAGAAGAATGGCTCTGGCTGGAGGGGTCAGCTGAAGGTGCAGAAAAGGTTTTAGGTTTAAAGTCAGCTGGTTCCCACATGGGCGTGAGGTTGAGATGCTTGACTAGAGCCCAGGAGCCGAATGGAGTACTTTGGTGCTGGTGGGCTCAGCCCAAGTGCTCAGCATGGAGCAGGCTGTGGCATCCCCTCCCTTGCTCTGGAGTTTGTGTCACCAGCGGTGATTGGCACATGGAGATCCCTGGCCAGCTCCAGCGCTCAGGAGCTGAGCAGGGGGACTTAGCAAAGGAGGGCTGAAAAATATCAGTGCAGTGCCGTTCCAGCTGTGGCCCCCTCCCAGATGTGCAAGCCTGTGTGCGAAGTGACGGCTGCCTGTGATGGTGGTAGCTTAGGGACTACGGTGGGACTCACACAGTCCCAGTCAAGCTGGGACTCAACCAGGCAGAGCTGGGCCACCCTGCGACTCTGGCACAGTGCCTCCACATGTGCTGCTGGCGTTGGGGACACAGGACCCTCCCGTCCCCCACTGCTGCCAGGGGCTCCCACAAAGCCATCACTTGGGAACAAGCTTCCAGCCTGTTCAATGGGGATGGAGGCTCCAGGTGGGGATGGAGGCTCTAGTGGCTCTTTGGCTGCTTCCTGGGGAGCGATGGGTCACTAGCAAACAGCCTTGCAACCTCCCAGCAAATATTTGCAGAGCTGAACCTCTTTCTGGGTCTTGTTTCTTACATGAGGCAGGTGTTCCTTTTCCTCACGGTGCAGGTCTGTCTGTCTGTCCCCTCCAGGGAATAACCACAACATAGACAGTGTGATATACAGGTGGAACCCCAGGACAGGGTTGTTTGAAACCAACCAGACCATCCCTACCTCCGGAGCCTATGACTGGGAATTTTTCACCATTGGGCCGTATTCCTTCCTGGCTGTGGCTAACACGTTCAATGGCACATCCACTAAGATCTACTCGCACATCTACATCTGGCTCAGTGGCTCTTTCCAGCTCTTCCAGTCTATCCTGGTAAGGCTCGGCCCCCGATCAAACTCTACTCCTTGGTGCCCTCTCTGGGTTTGGACAAGCCAGGGATTAATTACAGAGACAGATGCTCTGGAAAGATAGTGATAGTTTCCCACTGATTCTCCCATAGCGATTGACCAAGCGAGGTTTATTTTTTTCCTTGGATGGTTTTTGGAGTGGGTAATTTCCCCACTGTGCCTCCTTCTTGGCTTGCAAAGGTTTGTCCACATCCAGCTGCTCACGTGGCTTCCTTCCCCACAGACTTTCGGTGCTGCTGACTGGGAGGTCTTTCATATCGGGGACAGAGTCTTCCTGGCTGTTGCAAACAGCCACAGCTATGACAGCGGGATGCCAGCACCCTCTAACTTTTACGCCATCAACTCCTCCATCTATGAGCTGAACATCACTGCCCAGATGTTTGTCAAATTCCAGGACCTCCTCACCTACAGGTACCTCTGCAGGAGTCAGGGTGGTCCTCAATCCACGTGCTTCCACTGAGCAACCTGGAGGTCACCTGGAGAGCCCATGAAGGCTTGCACACTGCCAGGGACCGAGACTGGTGGGGATGATGATGGGTGACAGGTTCTTGGCACCAAATCCCAGTGGGAGCTAGGAGAAGGCCTTGGATTTGGGAACAATGGTGGATTTCATTTCAGGAACAGCCTGGGAAGAGCAGGGTTTTATTGTGTATCATCAGGGTGGCAGAGATTGGTGTGGGGTGGGCTCAGCCCCATGGACGTGTGCCCTTTTCCTCGTCTGGCCACATAGAGGCCGTCTCACCTGCCCCTCTGCTTGCTTCATCCCCAGCGCCCTGGACTGGGAGTTCTTCTCAGTGGGAGATGACTCTTTTCTGGTGGTAGCAAACTCCTTCGATGGCTTCACCTTCTCCGTTAACAGTATTATCTACAGGTACTGCTGCGGGAGGAGGGCAGGGCTGGGTGGTTGGGTGGTTGTTCCCAGCAGGAACAACCCTGCTGGGAGCCCAGCATGGGGGCAACCACTCAGATGCTGGTGCATCTGCCCAGGGAGGACAAACAGGCCTGCTCCCTGTTTCTGGAGAGATTTCCAGGCAGAAATGAGAAGCCCCAGAGAGGGACATCCCACTCTGAACTATGGCGGGGAGGTGGGAGATGCCAGCCCCATGGCTTGGCTTTTCTGCCCCATTTCAGATGCCCAGCTTGTCTCCCAGGAGCTAACTGCCCTCCTCATGCAGGTGGCAAGGCTATGAAGGCTTCGTAGCGGCTCATCACCTCCCCACTGTCGGCTGTAGAGACTGGGAGGCATTTCACACCGCCGAGGGCTCCTACCTCTTCTACTCCAGTGCCAAGGAGCCGCTTTCCAAAGTGCTTAAGCTGAAAACCACCTGAGGTGGCTGAGACACACTCAGCTTATCGCCAGGATTGGGGTGAGCTGGGCATCGAGGTGAAGATGGACCACAGTGCCCAGGGATGGCCACAGCTTCAGCCCTGCAGCCGGCTGGTGGTGTGCTCTGCAGGATAGGGAGGAGGAGGAGTGGAGCTCCAGGGCTCCCTGCAGCATTGTCTGGGGGCTGGCAAAGGGGCCGTGATCCTGCTTTTGTGCTGTTTCTCCTGGGCAAGGTCTCCTGCCACGCTCCAGAGCCATGTCCTACCTGCTGCCCAGGTGCTTCCCTGGGCTCGCCAGGACGGCGGTGCTTGGCAATCTGCAGGTGGAGGGACCCAGAGGTGCTGTTGGTTGCATCCAGATCTTGTGCAAAGCCAGGGAAGAAAGAGACTGAGTGGAGTGTGTGCTGCCGGGGGGGGTGCATGGCAGTGGGGAGAAAATGGCATGGGAGAAACTGGGGAAAAAAGTGGCTTTGGGCTTGGCTCTGGCTGCCCAGCGCCTGGAGCTGCGATGCTGCTGAGGACCCATCTGGTTCAACATTGCATGCCACACTCCGCATCCACATTTGGTGGCCTTGCCACCCCATCCCACTGCCACAGGTGCCTGCTTACCCTCCCACTCTGCTGTGCCCGGTTTTGGTCATCCTTGCCACGTGACGAGTGTAGTTGTACAAACCCATAGACGTGCGCAGGGACTGATGCCAGTCCTTGCACCCCTTCGCATGAGGTTAGCGACTCCCGTGTAAACCTGCTGTGCACTGGGACCAGTCCAGCTACCATGGGCATGGGAGATACCCAAACTCTCCAGGTGAAACTGTGGCTTCTTTTCTTTTCCTCACCTTTGTCTGGGGGACTCCTTTGCTTAACCAGAGCTCTAATAAACTGTGTGCACCCAGCCTTTGTCCCACACGCAAGCTGCGGGTACCCGAGTTGCTCTGCCCAGGGCAGAGTCTTTCCTCCACTCACCAAACCACCCCTGAGTGATACGCAGCCATGTCCGTGGCCACAGGTGGCCTGCCAGGACAGGGTGGCTCTGAGCACAGTGGGGTGCTGGGGTGAGGATGCCCAGGACCTTCAGCCTCTCCCAACTGTCCCAGGGCATCGCTCAGCCTTCCCTGGCCCCAGGGTTCCTGCTGGGTTTCCCCTCGTGCTGGGGAGCCCACAGGAGGTGCCAGCCCCGCAAGAAGGGGCTGGGGGAGCACGGTCTGAGCCACTCCAGGGTTCAGGACTGGGAGAGCCACTGTGGGCAGCCCCCGCAGCCCTCCCTTCTCCCCCAGCCCAGCCACAGCTGCAGCTGGCTCTGCCAGGAAGGACCATTTCTTGCTTGTGAAAGAAAGAAGGCAGAACTCGATTTGCTTCCCATCGCACTGGGCCATGAGCAGCATCTCTAACGATGCCCGGAGGAAGGGCAAGATAAGGCGAGACGTACCAGACGAGATGCAGGGACTCCATTTGGCCAGCTGGCCCCTGCTCGAGGCAGACTGGGGTGAGGATGGAGGAGGTGTAATCTAATGGGAGTCAAGCTGGTACATTGAATTTAGGCTTGTCTGCTTTGGAAGAGATTGAATTAGGACAAGTGCAGCCCCCTCGAGCCCCACAGCCCTCCCCGGATGCCCAGCTCCCAGTGCTGTGCAAACCCCGAGGGCTTTTCCTGTGTGCAGGACTTTATTGACAAATCAAAGGTTTGGGACATCACCCCCGGGCTGCTGGTGGCAGGCAGAGGCCACCGAGATGCTGCGCAAGGGCTGGGGCCGATGTCCCTCACTGGAGTCAGGATGAGGTTACCCGGCTGCACAGATCGACCCACCCCTCTGCACCCCAAACTCCGGGGACCTCTTCTCCCCACAGAGGCCCCCACCCTCCTCTGCCTCCCCAGGGGCTTGTTCTGTCCAAACCATATGGAATGGGAGCCCATGGCTGCGGCTTCTTTCCCTGCGACCCCAGCCCTGTCAGGGGAGAAGGGGTCTGGGTCGGGGGGTTCCTCCCTGGGAACCTGGGCCCCATAGACAGGGTGGCGTGGGGTGTCCCCAGCATCCTTCCCCCATGTCATTTACTCACGCCCAGTCCAGCATCACTGGGGAGGGGTGAAGTCAGTGGCACTCATTTACAGGACCAGAGCAAGCACTGGAAAGTCCCACAGAGAAGCTTTGAAGTCCACCAGGTTGCCACTGGCTCCCTGCGAAAAAGCTGGGAACAGGGTGCCGGAATCCTGAGCTACAGGGCAGTACTGGTGGTCTCTGCATGGCCCTGGGTGCTTGGCAGTGACTTCAGGTAGTCCACGTGCTTGCAGGTGTCCTCGCGATTGTGCCGGACGTAGCAGATCACATAGACAATGACCATGGTGAACCAGCCAAACATGGTGATGAACATGGCCACGTCCATGGTCCTCTGGCGCACGCTGCAGAAGTTGACACCGGCATCCAGGACCTGGAGCAGTGGCTTGCCCACGTACTCCTCGCGCGGGGCCGTGTGGCAGGTGATGTCCTGGACGGAGTCGGGGTCCAGCCGGGCCTCCCACAACACCTCCTGCAAGGCACACTCGCAGTGCCAGGGGTTGTTGGCCAGCCGGAGCTTGGCATTGAGCGCCAGCAAGGCCTCCTTGGGGATGCTGCGGATGCGGTTGCTGGAGAGGTCGAGGGTCCGCAGCCCCGCGGCCACCCCTTTGAAAGCTGCCCTGTCGATCTTCTCAATGGCATTCCTGGAGAGATCGAGTTCCTCCAGGTGGGAGAGGTGCCTGAAGGCGTTGCTGGGGATCCTGGTGATGCTGTTAGCGTCCAGCTTGAGGAACACGGCGTCTTTGGGGATGTCCTTGGGGATCTCCTCCAAGTGCCGGGAGCTGCAGAGGACAGCCTTCGCCCCTGCCCGCTCGGTGCACTGGCAGCTGGGGGGGCAGGAGCTGCCCCAGGGGACGCACAGCAGGAGGCAAAAGAAAGCCTGGGTGACACTGGCTGCCGGCGTGTTCGTCAGGGTCATCTTGTACCCGGCCAGCTCGGCGGGGCTGCTGGAGATTCCCCGGTGGCCGCAGCAGCTCCTGGGCAGCAGGGCGGCTCCTCTGCGCTCCTGCAAAGCCTCTCCCATGGCTGGAGGAAAGCGGTGGGTGGAGGGGATATGACACGGCATTATTTCCTGGAACGCTGCTTACATCTCCTGTGTAACGTGCCCTGGCACAGTGGTGAGAGGCTGGGCTCGCGAGCCCAGCAAAAAGGGTGGGATGCTACCTGTGACCATCTTTTCCAGGCCGTCTTAATTTGGTTATAGGTTAATTATACCTAGACATGGAACTGTAGAGATTGAAACCCCTTCCCCCGCCCCATCTCGGCACAGACCAGGCAGTCAGAAGGTGCTGCAGGATGGGGGTGCTGAGATGGGCACAGCCCGGGAGCCTCTGCCCCAGCCTGCTGCCGGTTTCCACGAGGGATGCGGTGATTTGCTGCTGGAAAACAGCAGCAGTAAATTCCTATCTCACCAACCCCGAGTGTTAAAAAAAAAAAAAAAAAATTATTCAGACTCCCTGGATCATCAGACTGGCTTAATCACCACGGGGTTTTTAAATAACAAGATGTGGAGTTCTTTTGCTTTCCTCATCTGGTCCATGAGCTGATACAAATCATGTTTCTAAGGGTTTTGCCAAAGCAGGGGTTTGGAGGTGACTCCGTTTTTTAAAGTAAACAAAGGGTATGGCCTGACTCCAGGAGCTGGAGCTTAAGAGAGGAGCCACTGACTATCCCAGTAAAGGGGGTGATCTGGGAACCCCGAGGTCCACCCCAGCCCTGCTTGGGATGAGGCAGGAGGTGAAGCAGGTGGACCTTCTTTCCTTTGCCCTGTGGTACTACTCACTCCACCCCTGCTGCCTCGTTCAGGCTGGGGAGAAGAGATCCCCATGGAAGGGAAAGTTGGCGGGGTGGGACCCTGGCAGGCCCTGGGATGAAATTGTTCATGGTGATTTCATTTGGAGACCAGCTGGGCATCGAGTCATTATCGCCCTGGTACCAGCACCCTTCTGATAATGGCATCCCCCTGGTAACAGCATCCTTTAAGTACCAGCATCTCTCAGGCGTGAGCATCCTCAGGGTACCCCCCAGGGGATGCTCATACCTGTGGGATCCTGCCCGAGGGAGTGGGACTCTTCCAGAGGAGATGAAGTCATGCTGCCGGGGAATCCCTCTGGCCCTACAAATGCTGCTGGGGTCTGCCAGCCCAGTCCCCCTGGCTCGCCCGAGCCTGCTCCCGTCCCTGGAAGGGCTCGGAGGGGCCGCAGCCGCCCCGTCCCACCCCCCGGGGGGATGCTGCCCACCCCCGACCCGCCCTCACACGCTGCCCACCGGCCGGACCTTCCCGGGCGAAGGGCTTGAGGAGCGGGGCTCCGTCCGCAGAACCGCCCCCCACCGCCACGGCGTCCCGGAGGGCGGGGGGGGGGGG